AGGAGGCGGGAGCGGGCCTCCGAAGTCAGGTTGTCAGAAGTTTCCTGCAGTTGGAGGCCAACTTGCCACTCTGCCCCGACGCCCTCGCAACCTTCCGCGCCCCGCCCACGGCGCTCAACAACCGCCTGGCCTCGTCTCGCCGGCGATCCCATCACGCCCTGCTTCCCTTCCCTCCTTCCCTTCCATTCCCTTTCCTCTTCGCCCACTCCCCATCCGCCCTCCTTCGCCTACCGCTCCTCTCCCACACGGTCCCACCTATATGCTCCAGCTGCGTCCCACCCCTGTATTTCCTCGGAGATCATCACGCTTTCGGTGCAAGACGATGCTCTCGTGCAGCGCTTCCGGCATAAGATCTTTTGTAACTCATCAGAGTTCGCGATGTTTTAGAAAAGACATTACTCGCGACACATGAATTCGACATGCGGAATTGTCTGAGTTGCCCTCTATGAACTCAAATAAATGCTTCTCAAATAAATGATATGAGGCTCCTCTTTACGATTTCGTTTTTCTTAGCTGCCCACTGTACTCCACCGTGTCCAAATTTGTCAATGCCTTTATATTTCGTCAGGTCATGTTCTGACTCAGTAAAGGGGATTTCATGTACCTGTTGAATATGTGTGTACACAGAAGAAATGTCAATTGTATACATGCATATAACTCCGTTATTATTTTCAATCTCTGTATGTTCCCTAGAAGCATCATTCATTCTGAGACATCCTTTTGTTTATAAGTCATTAGTGTAGTGTTTTCAGTATACGCCATTACAATGAGCACTTTCTTGAACTTATTTGCTGAATTTACTATTAATCTACACAGACTTACACGAATGTGTATCTGTGTTATGGCTCCTAATGTTGACAAATTATTCAAACTCGAGAGAACAGGCCAGGTGCCTTCACACCCCATTTACTCCTCACCCGATCGTCTTTAAATTTGAAATTGAGAACTCTGATCACACTCAGATTTTGTTTCATTTGTTTTTATTGTCAAAGTCTTTATTGGGTACTCTACTTACTATATGCCACGCGATGTCCTCGACGCTATGTTCTTGAGACACCTCCTCCGAACTCCTCCGAGACTTCGAAGAATTGCCCATCCCACCTTCCGTGTTAACCAAAATTGTATACATCCTCTTGCATGAAAGTTCTGTGATACAAGATCACATTTGAATGTGCAATTTTTTGAGTAGGAACGAAAACATTCCCTATTTACGAAATGTCCGCTAAGCCAAATCACAGAATTGTATTACATGTTTTGTAATACGATCTAATTTTCCAACAAAATTGGTGATTTTTCATGATTTACACAATGTTTTCTAGGTGTTTCATCTTTGATAACACTTCTCTGTAATAGTCTTTGAATTTTTTTTCTAAATTCTACAATATTTATCTCTCTCTTTCCTCGGGTTAACCATTAACAAATTCATTAAGTTGTAAAAATGAGCAGAAAAATCTACTACTTGAATGCAAAGATATAATTCAAGATTATCCTTCCCTTTGCAATATAACTTACTAGATAGGAATATACTTGTACTTACATAACATTCCAACTATTTCCTATTCTGCCTTTGAAATCTGGTATTATTCCGAAGGTTACAGTTTCACTCTAATTCAGGCATTTGGAAAATAGACAGGCGCGTAGACACAAACGGTAACAGAGGTCATAGTTTTATCCTCATCAATCATGTGTGTAGTCGGAACACGTTAGTGCGAACACAAACTTGGGTTGTGTTGACATCCAGAAGAACTACGACGTTTTTATTTAAACAGACGTCCTTCTTTCTGTGCATACTTCTTGCTGTTTCCTCGTCACACACACTATGTATACACTATATAGACCACGTTCGATCATAATGTCTGTTTTTTAACTGATCTATATTTTATATTTATAAAAATGAGGGTTACAACTAACTTGCGCTAAAGCCTTCAATTTACATGAAGGATTTGATTTCAGCGTATTTATAATTTAAAAAATGAAGTACTGTTTCAAGGGGGGTCATCCCCCTTGGCGTCCCGTTGGGGCGCCCTCCCTGGGAACGCTGCTTCGTATCTCACCCTGCCCCGACCTGTGGGCCGCGACCGCCGGGGGGCGCAAGAGATGTCGAGCAGCGCGGCGCTGCGTGGGGGCGGAGCGCGTAGGACAAGCGTTCGGAAGGGGAGGTCGCGCCGCGGGCCGCTGCCACGTCGCGCCCTTGTCGGATGGCGGAGCGCCCTCGCGCGCGCGGAGCGGGACAAGGGGGCGGACAAGGGGAGGGCGCGCGGGCGGGGTCTGCCCCGAGGAGCGAGCGTCGCCGTTCCGACAGCCCTCGCCGAGGTCACTGGGTCATGGGGGT